GGGGGGAGGGCGGAAGTACTGGAGCCGCACTGCTCGAAATCTGAAACAATGAAAGCCGGTGACACTTGTCCAAAGTTTACGGACAGTCAATTTGACGCTGCTAGTATCAAGAAGATAGAGAGAACCTAAAAGTGCATTCACACCGGAAAAGCAAGTAGTGTGCATAATTAAAACACCAACGTGGGCAAGTTTTGATTTTAAACATTACATTCGTCTGACTCAAGTTGCACAATTGGCTACACACAAATCTATAGGAACCTTATGGTGGGCAGCTTCTATACTTTCCGAAGTGTCGAAAGTTTGACACCAATTGAAGTTTAACCAAAGTAGACACCACAATGTGTTGAGAATGCACACTTGAACTTAAACACCAATTGACGTGCAACTTTAAACACTTGTTTTACCAGTGCAGATAAACGTACCCTTGATTTCATGTCAAAAACTGCTGCCCGATGTTCCAAAGGAAATTTTGACTCTAATGTAAAGCTGGTTTAAGGTGATGCGAGGGAATTCCCCTGAAGTAACGGAATTTAGCTGTACGCGTCAAAGTGAAAATTTCCGAAATTTCCCTTCGAACAACGGAAGCCCTTTGTGTCGTGAAATTCACCGAGATTCGATTTTCTGGGGGGGTGTGCTGGCTGGAGTAGCCTGGAGTATTGCCAACATTCAGCAAGCTCTTTGCTCGGGTCGGGCCCCGCGCGCCACGCTGGAATGCCACAATACAGCGCCCCGCCCGCCGCTGGCCCGGCCCCGCTACGCGCCGCCACGTGTTGGATTGACCGATGGCAGGGCCGTGAGTGAGCGATGTTTGGACAGGAGAGGAGAGAAATAAAGCCCCGGCCAGGCCACCTCATGCTCGTCTATGGCTGGGGCGCGCCGTAGCCGCGCTGGGGCCGGCCCGGAGATGCGTCGCTTCTCGCGCGCTCTGCTCGGTGTGTGGTGATTCGTGTTCGCTTCGGCGCACGATTTCGGGTGCATCCTTTCCAGTCGCTGTATTGTACGGCCGGCCAAGCTCTACCAGCCGGTGGCCTGGAGAAAATGCCTCCGTGCCCTTTTCTCTCCCCATAGCGCAGCGCAGCGCGGGCGTCCTCTCGACACTTTGATCTTCGAGTATCGGCGTCCTGGAATGTCCACACTGACGAGAGGTCGCCATCTAGGATTTTTTGGTGCTCACAGAAGTCCTACATCTGGCAGCTGGAGTACGCGGAGTACGGTCGGAGTCCGTCTATACTGTATATCCGGGGTGTCCAGCAACTGTGTGACATAAGTCGCACAGCTGCTGGACACCTTTTGGTTTGGCACCCTTTTCCCAGGGTTTCCTGTTGTTGGACACCCCCTGCTTGGGTCCCTAAGGGCGCCAAACTACAAGGTGTCCAGCAGCTGTGCGACTTAAGTCGCACAGGTTTTAGGGTCGGGCACCTTAAGTCACACAGTTGCTGGACACCCTGGATTTACAGTGTAGTCCTGTACACAGAGAAGTATGCGCGAGTTGTCGACCCTTCGGTCACTGCTGCAGCATCCTGGACCTGCCGTCGCTGGAGTGAGTCGTCCTGGACTCTGACTGGGACGGCCCCGCTGGGGGTGCCTAATCCTCGACGCCGCTCCAGCCCCGCCAGTACACGCCCAACCGCAGAACGGTGCCCTACACGGCTCCATCGGCGTGGTGTGGCCCGCGGGTGACCCCCGAGGCTGACCCGGCTGACCCCATCCTCCTCACGTGCCCCCTACGGCGCTCCCGGGTGCACCCGCGGGCGCCCTGGGGGGCCCCGGGTCCTCGCCTCTTGGAGCCTAGGGCCACACTGAGAGAAATGTTTCGTTGCTGCCATCTACATTTTGATACCCACGACCAAATTTTGTTCGATCAGTCCGGTTTAGTCATAGACATCAAAATGTAAGTTGCTGTAACTAAAAGTTTAGTTGCTGCGTTGCTGCGACTAAAATTTCAATGGCCATGACTAATCCGACTGATCGAACAATTTTTGTGGCTGCGACGAAACATTTCTCTCAGTGCGAAGACTCGGGCTGACGCACACCCCAGTAGCTCGAGACGAGCAGGATGCTCAGAAAACGGTTTCTCTCACTCAAGGAAATTCCAATAAAAATTGGATTCCCTCAATTTCACCACATCAAAGGCAATTATTCTCAATGGGAATTCCTTCCTTTTATCCTCAATTTTGGTAAGTCAAGGAAATTTTTTGTTGTTAATGAAAAGTACTCTTCGAGTCAATTCTTCGGCTTCAGCAGAATGATAACATTTTCTGATTGTGTTGTTACTTCGTGCATCGAAACCCGACAAATAAGTCTTTTCCTGCCGGACGCTGCCGTCAGGAAGATAAATTCTGACATCATCTGGAGCTTCGAGGAGGTGCCCCCGTTGACACGGGGCCGCGTGCGCGGCATGCGTGTGTCGTTATTTTGACAAGATGCTTATAGTGCCGCTAGGAAGGGGGGGGGGGAGAGAGAGAGAGAGAGAGAGAGAGAGAGGACTGCCTAGGGCCGCCTGCCGGGTGGTATACTCCTGCGGCTGGCCCCGAGGCTGGCTCCTGCCCGCCCGCGGTACCTCCGCGTGGTACTTTGATAAACGGCTGTCGATTTGGAGGGCGGTGAAGCCGCTGCAGCTCGTTTGTACGTGGCGGG